ACATAATGTCACCCAAACAGAAGAACGCTCTCACACTTCAACTCACTCACATGCCCCCACACTGACTGTGGAAGACGCCGTACGGTCAGACGCCCGTGTCCCATTGATAATGAAGACCTAGGGCTACCTTTCTGGGGCAAGGTAGCACTTGACTATATCGGCTCTAGCGAGCACATGCTTGCTGGATGGAGGATGCTTACACGCAGAACACGACACTATACAGTTTCATCATCCCGCTAGGATGACGAGTGGAAGCCGGCACAGGATTTCTGATTGTTCTGCGAGGTCGAGTGCGTTCATCGCTCATGTTTCAGCAAACGCTGTCGAGGACACTGATCACAAGAAAAAAATCGCCGAAAGGGCACAAGGTAATGAGAAGCACATGAGATCATAAACTGCCAAATAATACAAAGGGATGCACCATGATAAACGCGATGACGCAGCGCGACATCTTGAAGCAAGGGGGAAATTTCATATACGAATCCCCTTAGACGGCATCCACAGGAATGTGTGCATGAATGTTGTTTACCATGCACACACGCCATGCATATGTGCTTAAAAGGTTTGGTGCCAGTTGGCACCATGCATTGCCTGCTTTGTTTCAGCTGTAGCTTCCTCGAGCGTCCATGGTGTGCTATAGATGGGCTCTGCACACACGGCGCAAGCGCGTACGAGTAAATGCGTCAGTATGCACCACAATATACGCCCATCCGCGAGCAGTGTTTGAGGCACTGTAGATAAATTTTTGAGTCATCTCTGTCTCTCTGACCAAGCGCGAGATGTGGGGACTTCGGCCCTCGAAACTATATAAATGACTCGAAGCTTCACGGCGTGCAGAGCCGTGGTGGTTCTACAAAGGTTGATCCATCGACGACGACTTCTGGAGGAGGCCACAAGCCTGGCGGGAAGACGACTTCTGGGGGAGGTCACAAGCCTGGCGGGAAGACGACCTCGGGCATGCTCCAACCCACGGCGGAAAGACCATAAGACCCGGACCTATCGTGACAAAGCCAGGCACACCGGAGCCCGGTCACCATACCAGTGTTGCCCCCAGAGGACCGACCCATAAACCTACGACTACTACTCCACCTCCAATCATCGGTTTGTATCTGTCCGGACATTGTACAGCAAGCAGGGTTTTCTGACGCTGTGGGGACGAGTATACAAATGAGCATACACGCGTCCTCGAAAAAACAATGATACATCCTTTAGACGGTCTAAAATATATTTAAACAATCTATAGTTTGTCTAAATCAACTTTTGTAAGGACAGAGGCAAAAAAAAGTGGGGACCCGAGAACTTTTTCATAACAAGCTGTGAAAGGGCGCTTTTTATGTACCTATGTTTTTGCGTCTTTCTGTCTTATACCGCCGAAGAAATATCAAAGCATCCTCCTGTAGCATTTGGAGGCGAATGAACTACGTAATCACTGGTAGATGATGGGCTCTGGTGTTATGCGCATTGTAGTTTCTGTACACACTTGTTCCCGAGCTTGCTGTCTCTCTCTTGCCTCTCATTCGTAATTCAGGTGCAGTGTAAAAAATTGAAGATGTTCTCGTGAGTATTCTCATATCTCTCGCATTTCATATTCCTCTATTTTGTTTGCACTGTATTTAACTGTTCGCCACGAACAACGTTTAATTTAATCCGATGGACAAGCCTGCTTTCTATAATGTTCGAGGGCCCTCCACCACCCCGCGTTGAAAGACGAGGAGGTGGTTTTCTCCTTTCTTTCGCTATTGTTCACACAAGCAATGCATCCTCCTCACCCCTTACTTCTTAAAAGCAAGTGAACAATGTCAGCAATATGCGCTATAGCCTATCAGGTTTTAAAGCTTCTCGGCTAGGTGCTGTTGACACCGCTTGCGCAGTTTTAAACAAACCAAATGAAGTGTTAATTGATTCATCCATCGCGCACGATATTCGTGCGAGGCAAGGAAGAACGGATGAACGACTGCTTGGCGAAATAGTGCAGGAGACAAATGACACTTTATATTTCACGTATATGAACCAATCGAGAGCATGTACGTTATAAACGTCACGGGAACTGCTGTCTGCGTCACAGAAGTGCACAAGAAGGATAATAAATATCAGGAGAGAATATTGCGCTTGCTTATTTTTTGTATTCGCCCAGCCGGGTGAGTGGTCCTTTAACGGAGCCCTCAACACTGCTTCAACTAGCCATAGAATAGATTTGCTACAGGCACTCGTGAATTCACTGCTGTAAAATGTTTTCGAATCCACCCCCAACAAGCGGAGTTCTATTTATCGCATGCTGCAATTGCATTCTCTCTTCTCTCGCCCCAATGAAAGCGCTGGAAGCTAAGCAGGGAGGGATGGCATGGAGAAAGCAGGCGTGTCGCGCACGCCTCACGACTATGAGCACTTTTTCCTTTTTTTTTCTTTGAATACGCGGCTTTTCAGTGCGATGGCAGGCGTGTGTGTGAACAAGTCGCGGCCTCCCGCGGCGATCTCTGTAACGACCGAGCGCGCCATGTTTAATTCAGCCAATTGCTCAACCAACGGCTGTGACGCGTGAATAATGAGCATCTTCCGTCATTTGTCAAGAGAAGAGAAAGCAATTCTTTGAATTTGAGAATTCAAAAGGAGTTCCAGGTTGCATGCTCCACTATATTACGCTGATGTGTATTCTGGTAGACTTCACGCCTTCAGGTATTAGAGAAAGATTATTGGTCAGCTGCCAGTTTGTGATATGATTACTTGCTACGTGACGCCCACTGGCTGAAAAAGTGTGTTCTACACTCGCCGTCGTGGCTACTAGCGGCGCTGGAATTTTTCAGGATTGAATGGATATATATGGTTCATAATGTGGACGGGGTATGCCTGCCGCTGTAGCTCAGGTGGCAGAGTGTTACAAATTACTTGCCAGTGCACGGAAGTTTTCCTTCTGCTTTTATTTCTGCCGGTTTAGATTACATTTACTAGATGTAACATTCCGTATACTTTATTTAAACCATTGTCTATTAGTTCTTGCTAATGTTGAGTTTGACAGACACGATTCCTAAAATTTCCCCTTCTTTCCTTTAACACGAAAAGGTTTACTTGAAACACGGGTCTGTGTGTTCACGGAGGTTGATGTTGCTGAGATATCTCTGCCATGTTGGCAAGCCGCTTTCGCTAGAGATACGTCAAATGTTGGGACCAGCAGACTTTTACTCTCACGAGCTGTTTTATCATGACACATTTTTGAGGTGCACAGGCCTTCATTGTTGAGATTAGAGGTGATCTGGCCCCCACTTTCAATCACACGACTATCTTGTTTTGGTGCACATTTGCACATTTCAGCTAATAGAAATTTCCGAATTGTTCTTGTAGAAGTAGTGACACGAATTTTGGTGCATTGTTTTAAATGAAAAGCCGAGTGCCGAGAACTCTAGAAAGAGTATCGTTACACTTACAATACATACATACGTACATGCATACACACATACATACATACATATATACATACACACATACATACAAAGAACTTTATTAAAACAATGCATTGAATATATTCTGACTACTCTTAACCTAAACCATCGATTTTGATTTTGGTAAGGATGCGGCGGCTTTGAACTGACATGTTAACAGAAGTCTGACGTCATTAGAATACTGCAATTCACCACACACTAGCAATAGTTGTCATGTTGCTGTCAGTCACAGGTGATTCACCTAAGCAACGATGAGTTAATTGCCATCCGGAGACCCTGACAGCAATTTCTGCGATTCGGGCGTCATGCAGGGCGCAGACTTCGAAGCGCAGTGAACTGTCCTTACTTGCGATAATGTACGTTGAGATAGGGCATGGTTTCAGATGTTTACAGGAGAAACCTTTGGAGTAAATGTTTGATACGTGTTGTCCCTCTCAGTTGTGTGGAGGAGAGTGTTGATAGTGCACACAATGGAAATGAAACTGCCCTTTTGAGATAGCTCCAAACCATGTTAGTACTTGTTTAATGTGATGTCTGATGGTCCACGCATCTTGTAAACCTGAGGGTATTTCCGTTGAAGTGAGCTAAAGTTGCACGTAGTTGAAGCCTTTGAGCTTCCAAAGACGGGCACGGACATACATGTTCCCCAAAGCCGTCAGTGCACTAGATGGTATCAGCCAGAACGTTTTCATGCATGTCAAAGCATGTCAGTTCTCTTCTATTGCGATGTCCCATGGCCGCGCATCTTGTCAACTGTGAGGGCATTTCCGGTGAAGTAAGCTAAAGTTGCATGCTGTTCAAGTCTTGATCTTCCAAAGAGGGGCACTAACATCCATGTTCCCCAAAGCCGTCAGTGCGCTAGACGGTATCGGCCTATAAAACGCTTGCTTGCTTGCTTCTATGAATATGCATGGGCGAATGCTACACGAAGACACAGATGTAGGGAGGCTAATCGGCCAGGTGTAGGGAGGCCAGTTGTCACAATATTTGAGGTGGTAACGTTATGTGGAATGTACGAATAGAACAGAGGTCAGCGGTATAGACTTTTTACTAGTGATTTCTGCACTGAAATCAGTTCTTTTGTTGCTGCACGTATTTCTTTCAAAAATGTGCAAGAAATTTGCTCCAGATATTGTTGACAAGATTTACCGGGCATGGAGCGCCTAAAAAAAAAACGGCAGGAACGTAGTTAACAGGGCTCATTCATATGAATGTATTGTCGTCACAGCGTGAAAAACAAACAAAACCACAAACCTGATGAAACACAGCAACTCGAGCAACCACTCACATTCAATTGAAGCGTTAGTTTCACAAAGAAGCACTTATGAAGAAATACCCGAAATCACGTAGAGCACGTGCAAAAATTTTTTTACGCTATTCCTACAATGAATCCCCTAAATTTCTACACATAACTAAGCCTCGCCCTCGCATGTTTGCCAGAAACGCACTCGCCATTCAACGGAAATGAAAGACCAAAATGTGTAATGTGAACGAAATTGCATAAATATACACATTGGTGCCTGCAGAAGTGAGTGACTCCTGTTTTGCCATCTTGTGCAGCGACAAAGATGCCCCTCGTGTGCACAGTGAGCAGCGTGGGCAGCGCACAAATCCTGCTGCCTCAGTTGCATGTGTGCTCTTACGTCTTCTTCACGCACGTCATGTCGAGGAACAAACGCCTGTACGCCTCGGATGGCAGTGGGGCATTTCAGGACTTCGTTCGCGCCATAGAAGCGTCTGGTGGCTACACTGGTGGAATCTCCTTTGACATGCGGTAAGTGAGCATAAGACGTTCGGAAAATACCTTTTAAACCCCCCAAAAGTACCATCGACAGCATGAAGACAAAGTATTCATGATTAAAAAGAAGCAGGACAGCGGAAAAAGCTATATGGACGTACACTCAGACATATAATAACGCTGTTTGTCTGCGCTCGCTTGTTTCTGTTTGATAGTCCATCGTTTTTTGCACTGTTATATTTTTTGATCATAGAAAACCAACTGGCCTGATTTAACGCACTCGACATGTAATTCAAAACATAATTTTTCTTTAAAGTGTTTCGGTTCTGACGTGATCGCGCATGGTGATCTATATGACAAGAACACCTGTAGATTATATCGCCAAATGTAGTTCGTCACGTACCATGGCGTCATGCGATGATGTTATTGCTTGACGTGGTTCCTTGGTCAAAAGTAGGCTCATCACGGAGGCAGTGCGAGAAGCTGCCCGGCGAGGTGCAGGTAGCTTGCTGGGCCATCGATCCAAGAGGCAATGCAAAACGCCGATGAGCACCGAAAGCCTTCGGAGGAGAAAGGGGCAGGATAAAATGGTTTTCCCCCTCTAGTATTTTCAGGCGTATGTATGAGGAACATTGAGTCTTCCTTAACATGGCTCTCGTACGACTGTTATATGTCACAATGACACAATATAGGCTACCTTTTTTTATTCGTTATCAAAATCAAAAGTTGGTGCGACGCAAAATGTTCGATAAAGACTAGCGGTGCCTTGAACATTTCATTCGATGCCGGAATCAACCGCACAAGCTTTACAGAGAAAAACATACAGGCACACACCAACTTTTCATGCATGAGAAATGGCTTAGGCCTTCTTTTTCGCAATAGGCGGCCATAAGTACGAAAGTTGGTAAATAGGCGCGGCGTTTTGAGTAGTGCAGTTATGCTTCAGGAGCACAATGAGCTGCACTCTGTATGGTGATAAGCCACAGTAAGTCGATTTAGAGTTTGCAAGTTTTCATATGCATATAAAGTGGAAATTCAAGCGGAACCTCTTTGTGCCCAGGTACGGCATCAACGAAAAAACTGGGGCAGCCTTACTGCCTACTGCCTTGGAGGAGGCCCGCACTGAACTGCTCGAACTGTACAACAAGAGCAACATCAAACACTACGGCATCCTCAATTGCATCACAATGCCAGGTCTTATGAGCTATCTCGTGGCGGTTCTGCCCAGCACGTTTTCGGTGAGAAGTATAGTCATGCCTCTCGACACGCACAAGGACAATCGTTTCTTACTTGTTTCCGCTGTTTTTGCCAGGTTTCTGATATTTATTTTCCTGTGTGTGCAGTGTACCAAATCACTAGTGGTAATTAACAATACTTGTGCCTAATTGGCTATGGTAAAATCTATCTTAATGTAGCAAGTGGCAATATATTATTCTTATTTCATCAAAAGCATATTCTTGAGTTTTCAAAGAAGAAACACCTTAAAGTGTCGTCATTATTATTTTCATAATAATTCTTCGCCTATCCTAGGTCTACTGCAGGCTGAACGCCTCTGCCAACGATCTCTAATTTACTATATGTAGAGCAAACTACATACATTTACACCAGCGAATTTATCAATTCACCTCTTTGAACAGGGTAATGAATGATAAAAAAACACACTCACTGCCAGAACGAGCCTTTATACGCTGTTTTGTCCGAGTCCATTGCGGTGGATTAGCGATTACGGCACTAGGCTGCAGACAGGATGGTCGTGAGGTCGATCCCAGTCGTAGCGGTCTTGTTTCGATGAAAGCAAAATGCTACAGGCCTGTAGGCGTGTATTCAAGTGTACATTACATAATCATAGATAGCCATGACTTCCGGAGCCATTTAATACGGTGTCTTTATTATTCATATCCTTGTTATGGTATTCAAAACTTCAAGACCTATAAAACTTGGCGTCTAAAAACTTGTACAGCGGAACAAGCAAAACGAATGATGCCTAGTTTTGAAATCTTTCACGAAGTTTCATTACAGTTCTAATTCACGAATCGTGGTACGCTGTTCTTTTAAACTGAACACGGCGTATACTGAAAGGCCTCCGAATTCCTTCGGGTGTTTTTCAATTGTTGATTACTTGCTCAGCGCGAGTAAATAGGAGCTAAAATTTGTAGTATAGTGGTGCCGCCGTAAAAAAACAACTTCTTGAAAGAATTTCCTTTTCAAATAAACGAGACGTGCAACTTGCACCAGCTCATATATGAAGCCATTTAAAGTTCTTCAAATGAAAACAGAGAAGCAGGGTAATTGAATGATTTACGTATCAGCAGCCTTTCTACCACAGTGGATTATGAAACTCAAATTCAACTCAGAATAAGGCACTTTGTCTCTTATGCAACAAAACACCACGAACAATGAGGTGCTTGCATTATGGCAGTGTAATGAAGAAGAAGTAGATCGGTGCAAGGACAGCAACATCGAGTGCGCAGCAGAGGCTAAAGTGCTACTGCACTGTGCACAGTACTGCAAACTATAGCTCAACAGATCTAGTGAAATGAATCATTTTATTACAGTAACGCTATAATTACAAGATTTACCACCCGTAAAAAATAATGTCGTTAGGATTTCAAGTATGTATACTTGTGTACTGCTGCGTCAGTTCATTTACCATAATCCACACTGCCATGAACTACAAAAATGAGCTATTTTTATTAGGAAACAAAGTAGTCAAATCTATAAAGCTTCGGTTGCTACCTACGGCAAGTTGATTTTTCTTCCTCCGCAATCCTTTCCCAATTACAGTTCAACAGTTAAAGCATCCATATACTTTGGCATAAACGTCTCTTGCCCTCTCTTTCTTGTGATTTGGTTAGGTGGCATTGACATTCACAGTTTATGATGTCGCATAACTTACTGCTTTCGTCGCAACGTCCAAGCCAGAGCTGGACATGGAAATGACTCGTGCGCCGTGCGTCTTTTTTTACATGTGCAGAAAATGAGATCGCTGCAGAGAGGCGACCCGAACAGTGTGATTGTCCTGGCCTTTGGCGCATTCCAAGTCAACGTCTCTTCTGACTGGACAATGTATTATCGGCGGTACTTCCAGGAACTTGGAAAGTGAGGACATCACGCACGTTTGTTTAGAGGTGTTCGATTTGCAGAATTACGTTCCGCAAAACGATGTGCTATAGTTTTTCAGTGTACAGTCAAAAGTCCTAATAACGAAATTATCGCCCTTCGCAAGTCGTTTTGTTAATGAAATTGGTCATTCCGTAGAATCAAGACGGAAACTTTTTTTGTCCTTCTAAATGCAGAACTTTAATCAACCGTCATTGTTTAAAGCTATGAAGCACCGGACCAGACAAGAACAAACCCATACAAATCACACCACATCCAACCCGCCTGTAGTGATTTATTTACGCTGATATACTTAAGACATCAGGAAGCAGGCGCAGGGAAGCCCTAGCTACCGACGCTAGCTTGCTTTATTCATGAGTTTTAATTCTTTTTGGCCGAGCGCTATCGACCAATGCTATTTCTTATTAGCTGAGCGCTTCCACACACGCCTACTGCAGCCGTTAAATTAGTACAAACTTCAATGACCTCCCCTTTCGTCTTGTTACAATTAACACGTACCATATATGCTTATTCAAACACTGCACACTTCTGTGTACCTGCTGCCATGAAAGTTGTGCAGATTTACCCAAGCAGTCACTTGTTTCTTTTTTTCAGTGACGAATTTTATTGAGGGAACAGGAGTTTGTAGTACACGGAGGGGTGGCTGGCAGGTCACTGAGAGCATGATCACTCAATGTGCCACTACAACGCGGCATGCTTTGGGAAAGCAGATGGGAGGGGGGAGGGGTGATGAGTGAAATATACCATGGGATGAAAACTTTCAAAGCCCCGGCATTCTTTGCAGGACAGCAGAAAAGTACGCATATAATTGGCCAGTCAGATGTTAGCCATTATTTTAATGCACAGATATGTAGTACAATTGTCGAATGACGCATACAGCTTAAGCATCGGCGTACTCTTCCTAGCCGTCATCCTCGCTACCGTACAAATGGCGCATATACGGCCAGCCTCAGCGGCGTCGAACTACACCTGGTTGCTACCATTGCCTCCGCACTCCTATAGGCTGAAACAAAAACTTAAGAAAAGTGAAATTAATGTGGCGTTTCAAGTCGTCCCTCTCGTTCCGTGCCTACTACGCTTTTTAGGCGAGAGCAGTTCACTTGGTTGATCTCCTCTACTCTCGGCGGCGTGAAAGTGCTCTAGCTCGCTCTGCCACTGTGTGACGGTGGTAGAGCGAGGGTGGTCTGAACGAGTACATATACTCCAGCTGGAGCCCCAAAATATGCTGACACACTCTGGCAAACGCGTTTATGAGTGATCCTGCCCTCTCAACGAAAATCGCCGTACAATTGTAACTTACCGACATCGAAAAGCGAACGCGGCGTCAGGGCCCATTCCGCAAGGAAGGATCGAAATCGGCCTGCTTCGGAAATGCAGGTCAGGTGGATGCAGGTCAGTCACGTAAAGCCCTGACAGTCTGCCGATATGCCAGGATGCGGAGAAATCAAGGGATGCTTTTGCGAGTAGATGGATCGAGAAAGTAGCAAACAGACCATCAGGGTAGTGAGGTCACCGTAGCCTCTAGCATTATGTGGTGCGTACGAACGCTATTGATCTGCAGTCCGGTGTTCCCTTCATGTACACGGCGTGCAGCATGGTCAAAGTAAAAGCATTACAGTGGCAAGGATGCCCAGACGTTTTTAATGCGACAACGTTACAGCGTTGACTCGGAGAAAAACCGGTCTCTCTTTAAATTAAGAAGAATTCACTTTCGAGGCTGTTTCAAGAAAGCACTTCGTTTAGGTGGGTTTGCTGACCACATTTTTTCACTAATGCTTACTGATGAGACCATAAAATCCCACGGATATTTATCGGGGAATGACATTTTCTGGGTTTGATGGAAAACTTTGTAAATTAAGCTTGGTTATATCTAGTTCTAGCTTTAAATCCGGTAAGACTTCTCTTTGAGTTTAATTGAGCTTGGAAGTTCACCCAGGTTTAGAGTCGCAACCATCCTTTTTCCTTTTTTTGCCTTCCATGTCTATACATGGTCGTCCTTTATGAAAGGGAACACGCGAACGCGTGGCCGGCACTCTGCGGAGGCTGCCTACAGCACCATCAACCGACAAGTGAAGAAAGCACGTTCGCTTTTGGCGTCCTCTATTGCCAAGCAATGTAACGAGTCATGGCCAGTAGACAAGCGCTGCTAGATTACGTTCCCTTCCTCCGCGCGTGGTGAGTGATATCGGGCGATTACTGCTGCTTGCGCCGTAGCCGAGCACAGCGTTTGATATTTGATACGATGGCAGTGGACTACGCTAGGCGTGAGCAGAGAGCAAGTGCAATCTCGCAGCGCTTGTCTACCCGCCATCACTCGCTATAATTATGTTTAGGGGCGAAACAGAGAAGTTTATTGCAAACTGGTAACAACATTTCAGGTGAGTACAACCGTCTGGTGTAACAAAATCACTTGAAAAAACTACTTTTGGCGGCACCCGTTCGTCCCTCGTGGCCGTAGTAGTAGTGTGTAACAAGTATAAATTTTGACCTCCAAGGTGGTGCCGGTGAGAAATTTCTTCTGTGCGTTGTTTAACAATAAAAGATAGTGCTCAATGTACATGCCAATGGCTGCTAAGGGGGAATGAGAGACAGGAGAATCCGGCTTTTAGTTAACGCGCACGCTGCGAATTTTTTATTGTTCAACAACGCATAGAAGACACGAAAGGTTTGCAACGTTATACTCGCTAGGCGTAACCTGCTAGGTTTCAGAAAGGTTTAACGAGCGTCGGGCCACAGTGCCATGAATACAGTGAACTAGTATATACCATTAACTTGAGGTGGTTAAAGGTGGGAAGTAGACACGAAGCGCAAGCCGTGAGAAAGTGTGCGTGTGCCTCCTCTCGTTGAGTCCTTGGAATGTCCGCTGGATGGCGGTGCTTCTATATGAGGAATATATGATGAAAAGATGCGAAATTGTTGTACTTGGAGTGTTGAATAGGTGGACGAATGGACACAGAGACAGATGGAGGATGGACGCACGGATGTCTGCACGGACGAATGGACGCATGGACGAGCGCAGGCGCGGATGCATGGAAGAAAGCAGTGACGGACGCACGGATGAACGTGCGGGCGCATGAACAGACGCACGCACGGACGGGTGGATGGACGCACGGGCGGCCACACAGACGCACGCATAGATGGACGGAAGCAAGAACGAACAAACGGACGGATGCTTCGTCCCACTATCCATCATTCTCTCCGTGGATATGCTGTTATTTTTTTCCAACAGATGACGCTGAAAAGGAACGTGTTTTCTTTTGCTGTCGGTATATGGTGCTGTAGGCAGCCACTGCAGAGCGCAGGCCACGCGTTCGCGTGTTCTCTTTCATAAAAAACGACAGTGTACAACTGTTTGTCTTACCAAAAAAAAAAGAATTATTTAGACAGCGAATTTTTTTAAACAGTGTTCTTCAGCAGCGATTTGAATTCAATCAAAGAATAATAAGAAATTCGGCATGATTCAATTTGAGCTTATTGATTTAAGTTCGCTTTTTTATGTTAGCGATGAGCTGTTGATTCTCTTGAACTTACTGCTGTTCGCAGGACAGGTAGAGGCATCCTACGCCGAGGTTTTTCCGCATGTTACTTATGTCATCCGGAAATAGATGTAGTGAAACGCTGTCTGTACGTAGGACCCCTTATTCTTTCATTAATTGATCATCATGTACGAAACTTCAAGTCAACGCTGTGCCATGCCTTCTTACAGCGCCTGATCTTCTCATTTATTCAGAAAAAGTAGCAGCAAAAGGCGAAATCTTCCAGGGTAGAAAAGCTGTGATTGCTCTGTGACGTTTGACAATGAATTGAGTGCCGCCTAAAGCATAAATACTACTGTACACGTAATTAGGAAACGTGCAAGAAGCAGCAATTTACAGGTGTAGCAGATTAAGTGTACTGTTAAGAAGGCAAATGTGGCGTACTGGTATTTCAACAACATATCTAAAACGTTTTGACTACCCCAGACAAAGAGCCTACAATGAATTTAGGAGCATTACGCATAGCTGTCAGTGTACCGGTAAACAATCAACTTATTGCTGAAAAAGTTTGATTTTGTTTTTTCTTAGGGTACACTAAAATACATCATGCAAAATTTTAGAATTACCTCGGGCAGAGAACCGTCATAAAACTGTGGTGCATTAAGCATAACTCCTCTTAACTAAAACAGCATTCCAGTAAACACTAAACTTATGAGACCACAAAGTTTGATTCCGGTTTTGTATTTTTTTTCTTCTCATTTCTGTTACAAAGCTGGAAAGAACGGAATGTGCTTAAATGAGGAGCATGACGAATTGTTATTATTCATTGGTTATTCAGATCTTACTTTTCTGTATTGTAGTTAGAGGATGCTCAGTGTGCTCAGTGCATGTTTTCGATGTGTCGATAGCGGCGTTCTTTGTTCATCTCGTAATCTGTCAAACACGCTCTCTCTCTCTCTCACACACACACACACACGCACACGCGCACGCGAACGCACACACACACACACACACACACGCACACGAACACAAACAAACAAACAAACAAACCAACCAACAAACAAACTCAAGCGTTCCTTCCGAGAGCACTTTTAGGTTGACAAATATGCTGTTATTTCTTTCTGCTTTCCTACCATCGCAATGACAAACAGCTACGACGTGGATATCCTGATCGCGGTTACCAGTGAAGAGGGTCAGATAGGAGACAAGGTCTGCTACGCCGCACCGACGAGCGTCTGGAACACTACAAACCCGAACTTCTCCTCTATCGTGAGTACCCGCAAAATTTTCCTTGCCGCCGATGAATAACAACAAAAAACCCTACGTTTAGCATGTAATCTGTCCTACAGAGTCGTATTACGCCTGTTTATTCGGTGAATAATCGCCAAGAATAAATAGTACCTACGGCACACGCACTATCCAGCGCACTTTGAAGATCGCATTGTGCACTTTCAGGATGGGGTATTCATGATCTTTTTTGGTTTTTATTTTTTGAGCGAAGACGAGCAAACGCACACTGGTAGGCGAAACTAGACAAGTGGCAATGGTTTCCCTCAAGCGCACAATGGTCTATGTGATGAAACACGCAATGCCTCAAACGGTAGATCGAAGAGGCCACGTTTTTCGGCCTCTGCCTATGATTGTCGCTATATTTGTGCTTGAACACTTTTGTAGCTCTGACTTTTTATAAGCTTTTATGTTGCTAGTTTTATTGAGGGGAAAGTAGGCTGGGCTCACCATGTATTCCATATTGCCACCATTGATGAATGAGCCAATGTGGCTCATACTCGTTTTGGGGCCGCGAAGAAGAAGAGAACATTTTGGTTGCTCTGGTTTAGGTGAACTCCTGACTGTAGGTCTTGTTTTGCTCGTGACATTACTGATGGAGGTGCTGGGTAGACCTGAATAAGAGCAACCAAAATGTTCTCTTCTTCTTCGTGGACCCAAAAAGAGTATGAGCCACAGGGGCTCGTTCATCAATGGTGGCAATATGTTCTTATACAAAGTTCAGTACAGCGGAAAAAAAAAATATTTGAGAACAACAATCCTGGCACTCGAATATCTTTTGGTATTCGTGGATAATACGGTTCCCAGGTGATCTCCAATTATTCTTCTTTTGTGCGAGTACCTTCCTTACACACATTCTAACGAGTTCTGCCGCCAACGCGGGTTCCAGTTCCAAGGGTACTTTCAGCTTGGACATTATCGCCTTCGCAGGAGAGGCATTCCAAGCTGCTCCTCGACTCGCAGCATTACCCGAGAAGCAGTCTGTACGTGGGCCTTTCGTTCGAGATGGGGGTCAATCTGTACCAGCTGTCGCATAATGATACTGCAATAGAGGATGCTCCATTTGCTCCGTGTGATCAGTACACGCAAGTCGCATATGAGCAGGTAAGTGTAAAGAGCCTGCTTGACACGGTCGAGCCGCTGATGGCATATGAAAGCGCTGTAATAGTAAAGCGATCCCCACATATGTTATAGTTTGACCAGTTCGCATGACGTATGCTCAGTCATATATCGCTATGATATAGAACGCAGCAGTGTAAACTGGTCCGGTTTAGTGGAGTCCCTTTTCGAGGCTTTCACGTAGCGTGTGAGCAGGAGCAGGCCTGCTTTAGGAGGAGGCACTTTCGTGAAATTGAAAGGGTTGAGCTGTGCCCGTATAGTTTATTGAAACAGGGAGCAAGTGTACCAATACTATGCCGTGGAAATCTTGCCATACATAAAATGAATATCGGAATTTGCACGTTTCGATACTGTCTGTTATGTTCTCAGTACAGTGAAGCCACGCTGTATAAATGCCAGCGTAGTATTTGTCGTGCAGTGAAGATTGATAATGGCGCTATCTATCGGCTACGCTGAAATAGCTCAGCGAAATTTCGTAATGCCAAGCAACTTCCTCAAAAAAGAACCGCCATCGTGAGCCCGCTCGTATCGAGATGCCACACCGAAAATTAACACCCACTTCTGAAAAAGAAAACTTCTGCCGACAGACAATAACATTTTTCGACGCCGCACCGTGTTGAATTTCGTACAGGACAAGGTCGTTCTTTTTTTTTCAATGCGAAATTCTTTACGATTTCTTTTGAAGCTTAGTGCTGAAATCGAGTAGGCGACGTCCGTTCATTTCATATATTAATGTAGAGCTTGATTGACAAGAAGCAAAACTAATTATTGCCAACAACGTGGACATAAATGTCGAATAAAAGCGCATCATGGGCTCCTCCTTAGACAGCGTAGGCACTTTGTTTCTTGTTATCATCATGTTTTGACACGCTGGATTTTCCGCAGCCCTATGCGTTTTTTTTTTCGCTTGAACGATGTTGCACAGAACGCCAAAAAAGTTGCGCGTTTCCGATTGGCGTTAAACGCATCGTCACTGCCTAAATTGGCGTTCAGCTAATGCCACAGAGTCAGTGATTAAATATCTCTATACCTGTACACGCAGGTCTGCGATCCACACGTGAGACTGAAAACTCTTAACAACGTCGTTGAATCGGGAGTCATCTCTAACTATGTCTTCTTCTACGACAGCTGGGACTACCATAAAAAAGAAGGTGAGTCTGCGAACATATGCAGACGTTTTTGGATCATGCGCTGATGGATCTTTTTTTATGCTGCTTAATTTAGATATTTCAAGATGAAGATTACTAAGTCAGTAATATGGTGACTTTGTTTTTTGAGATATTTTTCGAAAACTGAAATGTATACATGCAGCTAAGAAGATGAAAGAGCAAATTCGAAAAAAATTGGTTATCTGAATGTTCACTAATAATTCCAACTGTTTAGAATAACACCGGAAAATCATTGTGTTGCAAAAAAGATTCTGCTTTTTAAACGCTATATTCGCATTTAGAAGAGTTTCAAGTATGCCACAAAAGATTGTGATAATTTTTTCGCAACGCAAACCACCTTTTTGCACAGTAGTGGCTCTAATGCAATAGTTACCGGTGACATGGCAGCTGCGGATGCGGCACATAAACTTTGAGAAATTACAGGAAGTGTCACAGTCATCTTAAACATGCTCTCGATAAATTAAATAAATGGGTATAAATATGCTTTCTGCCAATAATATCACATATGAGGAAATTCGCTAACACTGGATCACTGCAACTGCTGGATTTCACTCCACGCATGAAATTCTCTATTTAAAAAATGGACGCTGCTAAACCAGGATACTTGAGTCATCGCTTCAAGGATGAAATGACCAGATCATGTTATGCGTCCACTTGTGACAAAAGCGGTAATGACCTTTGAAAAGACTGCTCTCGAGATTTGGACAAAGGCTGCATTTGCTGAACAGAATATATACTTCCGAAAAGGCAATATGGCGACAGAAAAGCAGCCTAAGAACAAGCGCATTTTTTAGTAGTTTGTATACTTTCGTACTAAGGAAGTTTGAAATTAAACTGGTGTCAGTATTGTCTTATTTATTAGGCCAAGCCTGATAGCAGCGAGGGCTCAGATATAGACTATTTTATGAATGTGTGTGTGGGCCGCCATAGTGGCTTGTTAACCTAAGTGTTTTGTATGTTGAACACCTCAACGAACATTGTTAGAATAGGCGCATACGCACAGAAACAGTTGGGTTCGTGCATATGATGTTTCATGGGCTTATTAATTCCCGTCGCGATGTGCAAAAACACGAAAACATGGGCTTAAGAGCCCAAAATGGTGGCGCCCATTTGCCTTGCGGAAAATAGTCTACACAGGTGACAGCCTGAACAAGGCTCGCAGTCCAGGCAGCGTCTGGGCATGTAACTCAAGAAAGAATCGTTCATTAATTCATTCTTCATTTCAATTCACTTTATTTCCAATTCCAACATGATAGATCAAAAAACTGTTTGGACCCATAGCCAAATGCTAAAATAGGGTCCAATGATGCGATACAAGATGGCACAATATCCAAACGATAGCACAAGGCAACAATAGTGGGTACGTCCCAATGAATAAAGGGGAAGAGGACGCACGCTGTCGCCTTGCTTTCAGGGTCCCTGTTATTTACACTCCTTTCGATCCCTACAGTATTTGCGATGAAGGCGAAAATGCTCGAGACCCGGGAACTATGGGGTCACTATATAAAACAGCTGGTGACCGAAATTTCCAGGTCCCAGCACTGTACGCAGCCTCCCAGAATAATTTTGGGGTGACATTGACAGCCAGCAATTCCATTACAATATATATGCTTTTGTGTTGACTCATTGTCAAGGTAGTTCATTTCACGACAGACGTTCCCTGCAGTAGAGTGTAGTGGTGGTAGAATAATATATGACGGTATTTTACTCCAGTAATATTTCCAGTGATCGCGATCACTCTATATAGTATATAAAGAGAGCTCTGTTTATATATTTATTCATTCTACTTTCAGCAAGGATATGTTTACTGTTTATTTTATTTAAAGTACGCATTTTTGTATTATGATTGCATTATAGCGAGATGTGTTTACATTTTCGCGTTATCTACTCACCATTATTTCTGACACTGGAACCCGTGTAGAATAATATGTACTGTTGAACTTTCCGCTTATATTGTACACTGATGTGTTCGTTTTGCTTTGCTCCCGATGTGGCTCCACTTTTGTAGTCAGGCAATTACTCAGCCTTACACGGCAATTTTGTATCAAATGTAGGTTTGAATAAACGAAGCGTTACTTACCTAAACCTTACTAACATAAAAATGGTTGATTACATGTTGACTGCTTCTGTTGCGACTTCTTGTGACAGGTTGATGCTGTGTTGAGCCTAAAATTGCCACCAAAGATCGCCTGGCTCTTGTACAACACTCACTTCTCTATGACTCCCGGAACGTGCATTTCGAGCTTCGACAGGGAGCGGAAGCTGCGGGACTACCTGGCCAGCAAATAATAAACATTAACCGCGGAAGTCCCCGTAATGGCACGTATCAATATAAGGTTTACGATGAATGTGCTTTTGGTGCTGTGTAAGTGATGTGTGAGCGCCGCGTTCATAGCCCCTAGATATTTCCCCTTTACCTAAGTAAGCACCAACAACGGCATTTTCTCTCAGCCCTCTCTCACACACAGCCAGCCTCTGCCACAATTATTTGTCTAACTATGTCTAAGTACATTAGCGACGCATACTTAAGTAAATGAGATGTGCCTTTCTCCTCCGGTGAGCAGACGAATCGTTTCACCAGGTGCTGCCAAAGGCTTAAGACGACCATGATTGCCGAAAATGAGCGTTAGGCAATGAGATTCTTCTGAGGTTCCTCGATGGTTGTCGGTACTAAAGAAAGAACAGGGAAAAATGTAGGCACTTTAGTGGCGTCTTATTTCGTGGCAGCTGCTTTTCATGAAACCCCTTTTGGAGGGTGGCATCGATTAATCGCATCTTTCGTCTTCTCTCTGGCGCTCGTCAGAGTTTCAGTCAACTGGCAGGCGCACTTCCAGGCCACCGACCCGCGTCCATAGTCAGCGTCGAGAATCTAAAAGAATTGAATGCTAAAAATAGATAACTTCAGTGGTTTATGTATAGAACTCTTTTTTTTCTTTTTGTGTGTTTATTATGTTTATTTAAGGTTCTTCTTTTAGAAATCTAACAACTTTAAATTATTTCCTATATTACCTAATTAATCCGACCCTCCCTTTCAACAAGTGAAATAATTTAAAAAGCAAGGCACCGTCCCATTCTTGGCCTATCCCCCTAGGCTGGGCTGCGCCAAGGTGTTGAGGAACCAACCAACCAACCAACACCCAAAGTTTGAGCTTCACTCAGCGGCACAGTAATGCGTTTTGGGTTTGCATCGTGTCTATCTTGTGTTGGTTCAAGCTTATCGAGCGATACATTTTACAAAGGTTACGAAATAAAGCATCGATGTTAAATAATGTATTCTGAGCGCTATTATCGATTGCGTGGCTTCTCAGGAAGATATGAAGCGGTATACAACGTTTACCGTTGAGAAAAATAAAGAATGGCGAATCGTCAACAAAGAGCTTTCTCTTTATGAACACACGCGGCCGCCATTGCTCGTCAGAATTGATCCTCGAGACCCCTTCAGATCTTAAGCCTGTTCGGGAGCAGACAGACTCACAAAGTGAAGGAGAATCGTGAGTATCAGAGGTCACTGTGCTTCCACAGGTTTACTCCAATATTCTTATGCTATGCAGAGAAGCGTTGGTATCAACTGGCACTTCAGATATGTAGAGTTTAGGTAATAAAACCGTTCCAGATGTGGAACTGTTAGCCTGAATTTATGGTGGGGCACAACACATCCTTGTCGTACGTCGGTGTTCAAGTATATTTTGAGCAGTGTGAGGTTTGTATTTTTTATCACTCTGTGCTAAGCTGGTGGAATCTTGAGCCGATGGTCACGCCAGCTCATTATCTAAGATACCCTCTACATCTTGGCACCAGGTAATGGCTTGTTTTTTGTAACAGATTGACGCTGCACATTCTCGAGGGGGCATTCGGTTGTCTACCACGTACACACAATCTATAGACCTCTAGCAAATCAAAGGACTACCGTGGAGGTGTTTTAGACTTCGTTATTTCTATTGGCTAGAGCAGTAGCCGCGGATGCCACCTTTGTGGTACAGGTTGTTTCAAGCAGAGTCGCGACAGTTTCAATGGCATGCGGCAAATTACCATGACGGCTGCCTTACTTGATTCGGCAGCCTTGTGGTAGACTGCCTCACTACGTTAGCCAAAGTATTTTCAAAGCTGTCGAACTCTTAGCTCGTCTTCTCGTTAGGTGGTACAATTTGCCGAGGGGTTTCGTAATGTGGCAGATCGTTGCGTCGTTGTTACCTCGTCGTCGTAGAAATGTCCTCCGGCCCAGTTTGTTCAATAACAATTAAGCAAACTTGGCATAGTGAACATACATGAATTAAGACATTGCTGCTGGGTTTTGAGACACATCTCTCACTTATAACACTACCTTTTAACTCACCTTACACGACTAGAAAAAAAATTTGCTTCATACATTCCGACGTGTTAAATACAGAAATAATAGAATAAGGAGAAGGTAGGGTTCACAAACACTCTGTGATCAAACTAACACACTATTGAAAGAATATTTGAACAGAAAAAATATTCACAGATTTCAAAATATTGATGACCTCCAAAGTTTACTAAGGAACATGTTATCAATAACAATAAAAGGATCAAGACAATCTATAGTTGACAAATGCTATACTACCATATTAAAAACTGTCGAACAACAAATGTATAAAAGGAAGAACTGCTAGTGAGGAAAAATGAAGTGATAATAAATCATATACTTTTTTATAGCTATTTGGTGTTGCAATGAGTATTGCTTTTTGTTTGTGTTCAGTGATTTGTGTTTGCGGCGATGATAATACGTCGGCTATTCTATGTTGATCAAATTGTACTCGCTCTTTTATTTTAACGCGATAGCGTTAAACAGGTAGCTATGCAAAAGTTCCGGCGTAGATATCGGTGTCGTTAGTTGTGAGTGAAAAAGATACTTTGCGTGACCGAAAAATCAAGAATGATTCAAATAAAGTTATTAAAATATATGGGTTAGAGGGGGAACACGGGTCTTTGCGTGGAAAGCGGGTGTTATACCACACAGCCATGCCTCTGCTTGTGAAAGACCCTACTGCACCTTTAAGGCCACGTAGTTGGTGCAAGCAAGTTCGAAAAGGTTTCATACACCAAGTGTTTGAGGTACGCACTAGAGACAGAATATCACTATCGCTTTCAACTCTTCAAGGGTCCCCCGATTTTTCTGCATGTTTTTTATGTAAACTTTTGGCCAATTTAATTTTTTTTGCCAGTGCCTCTGAGTGGGCGGTTGTTGTTACAGGCACAACGACCCAGTCAGGTGCCACGATCTTAGTCCTCTTTCCTAAGTGTGACTTCGCTTATACTTGAATAAAATAATTAAGTTGAATTTTGTTGAGATAGACCTGGTAGAGTGACCGAAGCGAATGAGCTTTTCTGTGCACTCTTTCGTCAGGGATAGCCGATCCTTCTGCCAAAGAAGCGTCGCTGCCGCAAGATCTTCTAAAGTGTTGTTCCCACCAAGCACTTCTCTTTTTTTATTTGTTGCATTGAGCTTTATACCTAGGACAATGACGTTTCTTAGGAAAACGTGTAGAGGCGAAACTGGCTTTGTGAGCTCCGCTACGCTGGTGAACGGTCGGATCTGTCGGATTCAAACTTGGCTTGGATTGCCATTCTCCGCGAGGAACCCGACCGCGTACTTTCAAAAGGCCCGCCGGGCCCTTATTGGCTGGAAGTGATCACGTGTTCTACGCGTGTTTCCAGTATTCACGTTGTTTTTCAAGCTAGTTGGTGGCGCCTATAAACGCCGCAGTAAGGACGCCAAAAAGTTTGGCTTTTCAAACAAGTGTCGATCAAACGGGTTGTGTTCTTACGCAACTGCGTCGTTAATTTGGGCTGCCGGCCGGCACTTACGACTTCAGATGCTACCTACGTTTTGATTTAAGTAGTTGTTTCATTTCCATAACTCGTGCTGCGGTCTTCTGTTCTAGGCGCAAGGCACCTTAGTCGTCATCTTAAAAGATTAAGGTGTCCCAGATTAAGGTGTATCAGATTGTTACTGCTTGACGAAAACAGTTCACGTGGACTCATTGTTGGCGTCCCTGAGTTTGCTTTCCAGTTTCGTCGATGTGGTCACCTACGAGGATGGCATGCCTGGAAGTGCGTAGATGAGTCAAATTTTAGTGAAGGTGAATGAAATGCTGATGCCATAGCTTCCTTGGCTTGATTATTTGTTGATTTATTTATTAGGCGTACAACTAAGCGACATATGAATCCATCAAGTCTGATTGACCTTTATAGGTGCGCCTACGAATTAAGTGTGGAGGAGGCAATCGCTGGTCTGAAGAAGAAAATTGTATTCTGATTACTTCCTTCAAAGTGTGCTACAGCAGTATAGGCGTCGCAAACTACCAATTTCAGCATAGGTACCACTGAAAAGAGGCGGCTAATTGCATTGTGAGCGTTGCGTCCACTGTTTTGTTTTAATCGGTGCATCTGTAAAAGTACACAATATAAAATGGTCCTTTCAGTGACAAGTTTTCCACTATCCTCAATGTCATTGCCAGGAATATAATGTTCAAGCTTTTAGTACCTTTGTTATTATAAGATATATTTTCAAAAACACCACGCCAACCAATTTTCCGCATCTCTCACGACAAAGTTACGTTTCGTTTTTTAACTCGAAATGGGAATTCCTTTCCAGTTGAACTTTTTGGAGTACGTTTAAACAGCGAAAATAATAAGATATGGTACGCCTGTGAGAAACACGCAGCACAGTTACAGCCGAAACTGGAGGAACAACATGTTGAAGTTTGCCGTGAACGCTCATGGGATGGAATACTACAAGTACAGGCAAGCAAGATATCCAATGCCGTAATTAATCATATTTTAGTGAAGTATGGTAGTACCCACTGTGTTATTACTCGTGAGGCTGCGGAGAAGCGAGGCACCTGCTAGACAACTGCAACGCGTTATAGGTTTTTTGTTCTTTTTTTTAGACAACATTTCCAACAGGCACACACGCCTATACCAAAAGATGATGTCATTACTGACCCCATTTAACTAAACACGCCAAGGATGACAAGGTGACTTCTAAAAAACAGGTCCTCCTATCGCAACATCGGCCAGCCTGTCTGAAGCACTTCTACTGTTCACCCTGATTACCCCACTAGATGTTTCCATCTGTCGACTCACATCTTCATTTGGATAACACTAAGACGAGCTTACATTGATGAATACGCACGAAAGTTTAGTGATGTATCATGTATCAGATTAAGCAACTCTGTTAAAAAATTATTGATAGCTTGCTTCCAGGCTTTTTATACTGTAGCCTGAAACTTCGTAATGTCTTCTATGCACATGAACCAGATTGACAACGTCATACACAACATGCTTAAGAATACTGCGAGGAACAAG